ACCCAATTACGACACCGTAATTGGGCTCTCTACACGATTCCCATAATGCGGATCTAGCCTCAACCCAATTACCTGATCACACGTAATGAACAAACTCGTTATGCTTCATATCTCGGTCATCTGAGAAGCTAGAACTCTCATTTTTTCAGGACAAACGTAATTTAAATGGCCAAACACTATTAAATAAAATTTGGCTTGATCCGACTATCCAAACTATCAAATAAATGCAAAAATGAACCTTCATTTGAAAAAAATGAACACGAATATTTTTCGATTTGACAAATTCTCGAACCAGTGGTGGTAGTAAGTAATACCAGAAAGAATTTTTTCAATTGGGCACTCAGTGATTGAGCTATTAAGGCCAACATATGGGTACTGACTTTTGGCCCACCCTGTATAATAATAGAAATAGAGTGCAATTGACCACTGACTCGAGTTATTTAGTTATATATTCAAAATTAGAGGCAATATTAATCATAATTTCTTGCCTGTTTCTCGTAACCAGTGTTTTCCCTTTCGTCCCGAACCCAATTATCTCGTAAGCGGCCGGGTTACTTTATCGGCTCTTTTCTTTGACGAATCAAATTGTGAGCAGCTAAAATTATCCATATGGATGCCTCTAATTATGTTTATGAACAGCGAAAGTCAAATTGATCGAATAAGGGCCGCTCGCAAATGTTTGATTTTTAAAAGTTGTATATTTTAATTGCTGCAATTTTTTTTGAGATCAGTCATTCATAAAAGATTGCGATAGTCTCAAAGATAGACTAATTGAATATTAGATTATTGCATAGTTTAAGTTATATAGACGTAATATTCTCTTAACTGAAATTATTTTATTCTTTGTTTAATTTCCTAGCTGTGAATGAAGAACAATGATCAGACATAGCTATAACAAAATAAGCATGACTGGCGTAGTACCATAAACAGATTTTGAAGTGAAACAATGAGAAGTACAAATTAAATCAGTCCTTATTATGAGCAATAGAGAACAAAGTCAAACAAGAGCCGTCCATAAAAGGTTTGACAAGAGTTAAGACAACAAGTGTGGCTAGCTTTTTGATAAGTCGGTGGAAAGTAACCAGTTTAAATCTCAGTTATACTGCCCGAGCTCCACACGGACGTGTCAACATAAAAATCGTGATAGAGAGTTAAATAGAGAAGTATGGAAAACATGGCTGACCTACAAGATCCTTCGGCTATATCACAATACTGTTATCAATTGGTAGCTGCAGTAACTATGGAATGAGTTCAGAGTAAAACACGTACTAAGATAAAATATTGCAGATACACGTTGCATACCTCTTTCGTGCACGCCGGCCAGCCGCAAAAAGTGGTATGCAAGACAACGGCAATTGTATAAAAACCTTTTTAGCCAAATTGGCTAGTGCCTAGTGAGTACGCAAAAACTGATTACTTGATTAAGTTCTAAAATGAGAAGTACGGACACGTTTTGGGGGAAAAGTACGTACTACTACTTGTACGCAACTTTGAAAAGTCCGACTCATAGTCATACGACGTACGATTCAGATTTTTTTGTTTTTGAATTATTATCATTGGGGTCGTTGTAAAATGTAATTGTTTGCCGATGTTAGAGAAAATATACCGTTCGCGAACAAATTAAACACACAATTCTTAGGTCAGGCAAGCATTTAAAAGTAAAACTAAAACAAAAATTATACAAAATTACTAGACAATTTACTTATTTAAACAGCTTGTTTCTCTTAAAGTTAAACTTTAAGTTAATCGACGATTGGAATATAGAAATACAAGTTTTTGAAAACGCTCAATATTAGTCCGTAACCTGCGATTTCTAGAAGGAGAACTTTTCAGTAGAATTGAAAGGTACGTACGATACGAGTAAATCGAAAAGTCCGACTCATTCGTACTTCTCATCTTAGATCAAGTTAACGCAATTTTAAATGCAATATATGTGAGCTAATCCTATAAACTATTATCAAAGTATGTATGCAAGTATGATTTATCGTACAAATTACCAATAAAGGAATTGTTTATCAATATAAACACTCGAAGCCGTCACTTATACATAGTTTCCCACACCAGTCATGATATAATCAACTAATACTAATAGTATAGAAGGGGTGATGTGTTCTCGTTTTTACATAATAAACCTCCCCGAAAGGTGCCGTGTTCTGAATGACATCCTCCCGATGACTTGAACACTATGGCAGACAACTTTTGGGATCTCAACATCCACAAGGCCTAGTCCTCTGGGAGCAAATACCCTGAATATAGTTCAGTTAGAGCTCAATCTCTGCACCAAAGGGACCCCAGCTCACTTGGTGAACAAACGAACAAACATAATTATAGAAATAACGATATTGGATATTTTATTATAAACAAAGTAATATCACAAATTCAGCACAAATACTGCTGTGGACCCAAAGTCTGGTCCTAGTCATTCGTCAAAGTAACCTAACTATTGATGATGAATAATATCAAATATCATATCTAAGTGACTGGCTAGTGGCTACAGAGCAGCTGGTGTATATTTGTATGATGTTCAGAAACACACCAGTTCCAAGACGTCATTCACTCATACAGATATGATATTTGAACATCATATCAGTATCACAGAAAAGTTGTGAACACTGAGAGCTGAAAATTGTGGTACCGCGACTTTTGACCCCCGACAATTGCCCCCCGACAATTGACCCCCCGACAATTGACCCCCCGACAATTGACCCCCTATGTAATTACACTGGGGTCAATTGTCGCGAAATCTAGGGTTTAGTACGACAATTGACCCCCCGACAATTGACCCCCCGACAATTGACCCCCCGACAATTGACCCCCCGACAATTGTGATTAAACTGGGGTAAATTAATCGGGTTAGGGTCAGGGTGAGGGTGAGGGTTAGGGTTACGGTTAGGGTCAGGGTCAGGGTCAGGGTCAGGGTCAGGGTCAGGGTCAGGGGCAGGGTCAGGGTCAGGGTCAGGGTCAGGGTCAGGGTCAGGGTCAGGGTCAGGGTCAGGGTCAGGGTCAGGGTCAGGGTCAGGGTCAGGGTCAGGGTCAGGGTCAGGGTCAGGGTCAGGGTCAGGGTCAGGGTCAGGGTCAGGGTCAGGGTCAGGGTCAGGGTCAGGGTCAGGGTCAGGGTCAGGGTCAGGGTCAGGGTCAGGGTCAGGGTCAGGGTCAGGGTCAGGGTCAGGGTCAGGGTCAGGGTCAGGGTCAGGGTCAGGGTCAGGGTCAGGGTCAGGGTCAGGGTCAGGGTCAGGGTCAGGGTCAGGGTCAGGGTCAGGGTCAGGGTCAGGGTCAGGGTCAGGGTCAGGGTCAGGGTCAGGGTCAGGGTCAGGGTCAGGGTCAGGGTCAGGGTCAGGGTCAGGGTCAGGGTCAGGGTCAGGGTCAGGGTCAGGGTCAGGGTCAGGGTCAGGGTCAGGGTCAGGGTCAGGGTCAGGGTCAGGGTCAGGGTCAGGGTCAGGGTCAGGGTCAGGGTCAGGGTCAGGGTCAGGGTCAGGGTCAGGGTCAGGGTCAGGGTCAGGGTCAGGGTCAGGGTCAGGGTCAGGGTCAGGGTCAGGGTCAGGGTCAGGGTCAGGGTCAGGGTCAGGGTCAGGGTCAGGGTCAGGGTCAGGGTCAGGGTCAGGGTCAGGGTCAGGGTCAGGGTTAGGGTTAGGGTCAGGGTTAGGGTCAGGGTCAGGGTTAATTGTATTAAATTATATTTTCGGGGGGTCAATTGTCGGGGGGTCAATTGTCGGGGGGTCAATTGTCGGGGGGTCAATTGTCGTGGGTCAATTGTCGGGGGTCAATTGTCGGGGGGTCAATTGTCGGGGGGTCAATTGTCGGGGGGTCAATTGTCGGGGTGTCAATTGTCGGGGGTCAATTGTCGCCCACCCGAAAATTGTACGTGAGGTTTAAGGATAATATATCATCAAACACCTTTATTGAGTAATAGTACCTTAATTTCTCACGAACATTCGGGCATTATCGTGCGCAGCACTTAAAAACCAAAGTCCCCTTTGTTGTTGTATTATGATAACAGCAACAAAGGGAACAGCTAACGAGGTTAGAGATGGGAGTAAAAATTCCATTAAAGACAGATAGGCAACATATAAGTGCGGCAAAATTGTGCGAAAAGTGCGGCTCGAGTGCGGCGAGTCTGGGCCTTGTTGGTCTGGGACTTTCGGATCTGGGCCTTGCTGGCATCTTCAAAAATGCGTGTAAAAATGGCCAACAAATTTGCTTATATGAACGCTTCTTTTGACAACAAAAGAGGAACTGATAAGAAATATGATTATATGGGATCATTGGATGTTTATCAACTCACCAACAAAATTGTGTGAGTGTCCTTTTACCCAAAATTTATACCATTTGGATTTTTATATAGACAGAATGTCGCCAAAACTAAAAGTAAGTTGCAAGTTGCTACTCAGCACTACACACTATAGCACTCATATTTCATCAAAATTAGAATGCATTTAGAAAATATCGCTATGATTTGACCATGACCGGGCATGACGGCAAGATTCTATCCCATTTCTGTTTTATCAAAAGATGACTTTTTGGAGGTGTTGTCGGAATATAAAATATAGTTAGTATCAAAGTAAGTAATACGAGTATTGCTACTTTCCTTTGATTAAGAACACGTGACCAAAATTAAAAACACGTGACCAAGCCTCGGATATACGGAAGGCGCGAGATTTGACAAAATCTTATTTTAGGAAGTAAACAGTACTCACTGTAGACGTAGTCATTCGTCAAAGTAACTATTGACGATAAATGATATAATTTATCTATATTGGATCGAGCAGCTGGTGTATTCCTGTTTAATAACAAGGATAACATTTGAAACTCACTGGGATGCCAATTGCCAGCTAAGTCTAACAAAACTTGTATAACTGAGTCTGAGCTCAAAAACACAGCAAAAGAAGGTGGTCAAAAATGGTTTTAAAACCATCTTCTTTAACCACCATACGCTCAGATTATCGAGACGAATCCACCAAATAACTGCCACACTTGCTCGACATTCGGAGCTTATTAACGAAAAAACATAAAGACCAAAATCGAATTTTAAATTCTGATCAAATACTTATGAAAAATATCAACAATGAATATAATCGCACAGTGCCTGCCATAGCACACTAGTAAAAGCAACAGAGTGCAAAGTTAACGAGGTTGAAGATGGGCGTAAAAATGTTTAAAGTATGCCAAGTGATCGAACAAATGTACATGCCAAGTGTGAAAACGTTTAGGCCAATGTTGATTGCGGTTTTATTCGGGTTGCAGCACCGCAGGTATAAACGTAGCTGAACAGCACTATGTAACGATGTAGGATGATATTGTAGGGCTTCGCAATCACATTAATATGCGAACGCAAACATGGAACAATTATTCGAATGTTCTGTTACAATCTCAATGCGTTGGTAATTTAGTAATTGAGTAATTGGTACTTCAATGAACGTTGAAAATTCAGCAAGTTTTGTTCAGTTAAAGATAATATGTAACTATGCTTAAAACTTACTTTTGCAAATTATGACCGATATGAATAAAGCAGTAGAAATCTAACGATATGTGTAATTGTAACTTTATAAGTATAAAGATTCTACAGCAAATGTAATAACAAGATTTCATTATACCGGTCCCTTATTATCAGTAATCCAAAGTTTGATTGGATTTATATTCAATTAAGTCGATCATATTATGACAAAATTAGTAACTTCAATACTAATCTCCGTATTCCTTGATCTCTGATAATGATATACTTGATCGCTTTCCGAATATTAAACAAGTAAAGACAATTTTCTGATGAAATAGCTCCAAAGTGAGGTGAGAAGGCGGGATATTTAAAATATTTGGTGAGAGCCGCCTCAGATATTGCTTTTAGTGACTGATTCTACTAGTCCTTCGTGTAGTTTAGACCTGAAATGTGATTTTGAAATTTAAAATTGAAATTACCAAAATTTAAACAGGACATGTCAAATCCCTCCTCATTAATGAAACGATCAACTGCCACCTTCTTCGTCAAAAAAGGAAATCGACTACATCCTAAATATAAAACACGTTCACCAATTCAGTTCAAAACCTACCTTTTACTAGAGGCGTATTTATCAAGCCTGTCGAGGAAGCTGATGGCTTTGTTAACAGCCATACCAGGTTCCTGAGCGTGTGAATAACTGAGAGTTGTATTGCTCGAGCTGAACAAGCTGTCCGAACACCCGGACAATCTTCTGGAGTCTTCTCTATTGATCTCGTAGTGTCTGACTCGCCCGAGCTGCAGGGGTGCATTGGATTTTAGTTTCATCAGCAAAGGACCAGCAGTGATTGGATAATCCAATTCCAATGGTTATCCTGGAGAAATAATCTGAATATTAAATTTTTGAAACCACACCCCCTCGATCTAGTGTTACAATATAAATAGGTTCTGTACCTGTCTGTAAGCGGACTCTGATATAGAAGAGCGTCTGGGTCCTGCTCTGACCGGGGGCTCTAAGTAATCAGCCTGATCCTGGGTACTGTTTCCTGCTCCTACTTGTACCTTGTTCAGTCTCGAATCCCCTTTAACCTGGTTATCACGGCGCGTTATCAAATTTTAGGCATTCTATGTACTGTTTTGCGTGACTTCACCCATCAGTAATGAATTAAGACGAGGGAACTAAAGACTTTAACCTTACCAAACAGTGGAAAAGGAAAATTGTCACAAAACAACAAATGAAGTAAACTCGCCTGCAAGGAAAGGTTGCCGAATACATTCTCACAAACGTACTGTTGGTTCTCTGGCACAACCCCTGACCTCCCCATCTCCTCCCCAGAATCTGAACCATAGTTTATAGACCCAGATGAGGTCCGCTTCCGTTCCAACTCACTGTATGCTTCAACGCTCGCGCTCCTAAGAATTAGCCAATCAGAGAGCTGTATTCTAGTCACAAGAATTAAATGAACGAATCGGGGAACTATACTCTTACACAGCGATTAAATCCAAAAAAATAGGGTTTCTAAGAATTAAAGTTGGGTTTTTGATGAAAGAACCAGGGTTATCCTTGAGGGACTGTGAGTGTGAGATGTAAAAAAATGATAAAATCAGCTTACCACCTCCTAATAGAGGGGTGTAGAGAGGTGGTAGAAGATCTGGAGGTGGGACTGAGAATAGAGTCAGGAGGAATTGGAGTCAGGCAATCAGACGCTTCCCCGCTCAATCCGGACTAAAAAGTAAGTTTTAACTTACAACTTTACAAAAGTTTTTTTCTTAAAGATTCGTTAACATCTTATGCCATGAAAACATGTAAATTTAAAAACCCTTGTAAGGGTACAACTCAATTAAGGGTTTGATCATGCTCACTAAGATAAGATTCGCTTAGATAACATTCCAGTGCACTTACCGCAGTTGGAATCTTCACGTGTCCTGAAAGGGGGTCACCGTCATTGTCTTCTCTACCACTCTGAGGTCGCTAATTAGCTAATTAGTTAATTGATTAATTGGTGACTTGATATCACAACAATTAGTAATTTGGTCAATAACTAATAGGTATACTGATACAGATTCTTGGCCCATGGTATCAATTTAGTCTGGCAAAAGCATACGCTTTTCCATTGACTTCAGGCATGAAAATATCATTTTCAATCAATTTCACTTTTGACTTTACAAAACAGCTTGTTATCAGGCATGATAACAACTATCAAGAAATTTGATCAAATAAAATGATTACAATTGTACCACCAGAATCATTGACAATTGTGTAGATAAGTATTTTACATTAAACTTTAATTAAATTAAAACCCACATTGTCACCGCAGCTCAAGTCGATGGCAGAAGGGACTCGAACATGTTTCTGAACGTCCCCGAACAACGAGTTGAAGGTGTAAGTTAGTTCTACCGTGTTGTCTTCTTCCGTTGGGGGAACTAGTTGTGTCTGAGATAACAGTTATCAGTTAGACTACTATAGTAAATTCTTCTCTTTACCAAAATATTAAAATTGGGTAAGGTCGACCGTTTCTATTGATCGACGTTTTGGTTTTGGGAGGATACGTTTTGTCTTGAGAGGAAACAGCTAGGTTGAATAAACCAATTCTCATTTTGGAAGCCAACCCTCAGTAAAGATTTAATTATAGTTGGGCATTACATAAACTTATTTCCTTGAATTGCAAGTACGTATTGCTGACTACGTAATTTTCGAGATCAATATCTACGTTGAAATCACGAAACTGAATAATTTTGGCTTCAATTATCAAATTTCATGCTTCTCAGCACATCCAAAATCTCGAAACCAATTGAGCGTCTTTAAGTCTAGGGGTTAAGGAAGGCGGAAGGAGCTGATTCAGTCAAAGGCTCGTTATAATTTGCTAATTTGTACTCTTCACACTTCAATGTGGTTAAATTTAAACATCAATGAGCTTACAGGTGGCAGTATATCAGACTAGAATTTTAAGTTTCAACAAAATGATTACAGCAATAAAAATGTGCTCATGAAATTTCTACAGAATTTATCAGAAGCTACGAATCTGAAATCTAAATTCGTACCCGTATCCTATGCCGGGTAACAGGCCCTCCAGCGGTTCTAGGTCGGGGTTTAGTCAAAGGAGAACTGAGACTCTGTTTTTTCGTTATCGCCCACTTTCCTTCTCCATCATCCTACAGGTAATAATACTGTTTTAAAATCACATCTTAGTTACTTTAAAAGATCAAACGCCTTGTAAAAGATGAACCAAAAGGATGTTTAGTGATTGTTGTGTGAGTTATTGTGAATGATTGTGTGACAAGTGTGACAAGTGCATGTTGTAGAGGTGGCCCTGGAATGTTCTCATCTGAGATCTCTTCTAGTTTGTGACAGGTGGCTGTGTGTGTGGTTGCCATTGCAATTATTCTTCATGAGGGTACGATTAGGGCATTTGGTGAATGGTGATTCAAGCCTTTGGTGAATGGTGATTCAAAATCTGAAAGAAAGTACATTCGAACATTGAAATTTGAATAATAACTTTAACAGAAATAGGACTATGATATTAAAGTGAAGCAGGGTATGAATATAGTCAATACATTGGTGGGTTAACAACAAATATAAAGTTAAAAAATAAAGTGAAAGTGAAATTGTGAAATTGCGTGAAAAACTCACTTCCTCATCATGGTCGCGCTCCTCCAGAATAGTGTTAATAGTCTTAGCCTTATTTCGCGGCAAAGCTGTGGCGCATCTAGCCACTCTTTGTTTGTAGATTCGTTCTTCTTGCCGGAACATTCTGTTCACAAGCTGAAAGTGGACATCATTTACAGATTTAATATGTTTACGATTATAACAAGCCTCAAGGAGGGCCGAGGGGTATAAATGCTAACCAGGTGGACCCCAGTAGGATACTCCGCATGGAGGGTCGCTACCTCATACCTTGTGACGGTAGTCAGTGGGTGCCGCAACAAAAAAAGAAAAAAAAAGCCTCAAGGAGCAATTAAAATGATAGATATCAATATGAGAATAGTCAGAGTTGGACGACCGTGATAACTGGAGATAAGGTGGTAGTCACAATATCAATGGCATCAAGATACTCAACATGACACATTATAAGACATTAGATTTAGATGAAACTGCAGTATAGATAACAGGTATGGTAACAACAGGTGATAAATAACAAGTAATACATTATAAATATTACCTTTCTCTCTCTTTCGTGATAAACCATGAATTTGTTCAGTGCCCTCTGGAGATTATCATTAGCTTTGTTGGCCAGTAAAAAGGGAGTCTTATCTTTAGCAACAGCCATATCCACCATGAACTTGTGGTCGTCACTGCTTGGAGTTGGAGATAACAGGGAGGAGTTGTTGTTCCTGTCCGATGAGCTGTCGAGGTAGCTTGATCCGTTGCCATGGTTACTGGACGTGTTTCCATGGGAGGAACTTCCAGTTGTGGAGGTGACGTAGCTTCCGTTTAGGGCGAATTGAGGGATTTTCATGTCTAAATGAGTTTTAAAAATAAATAAGTAAGATCAAACCTTCGTGTAGAAAATTAACATATTCAGCTAACATGAGTTACATTACAAATATTTTCAGGTTGCAGATGTCAAGTATAAACGTTTGAAATAAAGGATTGCCTAAAATATAAATATTTCCCTCCGTCTCGAATATGAGATAGTGTAAAAGATATCTTATAAACTGTTGCAATTTCTAGACAAAGCCGGAAAACAATGTCAATGAGGGGCGATATCGGAAACTTTTAATACAAACCGCAACAAATGAGTTAAAAACAACCGATAAATATTAGATAACATATTTTAACCACCAATAAATATTAGATCATCTACTTTAACTTTTAGAGGCGTCAGGTTGATTAAAATGGTAAACATGAATTTATGGATAAGTATAACCGGACTATCAACTTATCAAGTAAATTTACAGTTTACAGTTAAAAAACATCATTACTCAATACCATGATATCGTGAATATGCAATAAAGTGTCGTGACCACAGTTGAATAAACACAGCAAAGTGTCGTGACCTGTGCAGTACTGTCGCTGCGGGAGAGCAGTAGACAACACGCAAATATTACAATATGTCAACGCCAATCTGTCCGGCCTATATAATCATATAATCAGTGTTAAAGTCGAGCTAGAAGAAGTGTCCTCAGTTTGTTGTCAGTGCTTGCGCCACTTGAGTGCTGTTCACTGTGGTCACATCGTGTCTCATGCATGTTTGCTTGAGTCAGGATATAAGCTGCTCAAGTAGTGGTAGCCTCAAATGTAACGATCACGTACGTGATAATCGGTTCCAGCCGCAGATTCAGACATCATCTCAATGTTGAGATTGTAAAGAAGAAGAAGATGATGTCAACAAATATGTCATGCACTTCTAACTTACATCACCATGCACAACCGCTATTATGTTTAATTCCTGTTTAATACCAAGACAAACTAATGGTGATATCAAGCAAGTCGTTTTCAAACTACTTGTAAAGCCATTGTGTGGATACAGTCAATGAAAACAATTAGAGTTAGACCGACTATTAGTATTTAGATATAATTTATTGTTACAGTCAAGCACGGTGTGTTAAATTTTCACATTATCATTTGGTGTGAACTTGATTCACGATGTAATGTCAATCCTTCGCAGCTCGGTGAGGCACAATGGTGCATTTCGCCGATCTACCGAAGGTTGCGAGAAGAATTATTTGATGCGCGGCGCGACCCAGTAGTGCATCGCGCTACAAGTGTGAACTTATACTTATTAGTATTACTTACCATTGAAATTTGAGTACGAGGTGGGTACTGGGTATCAGGAAAATTCCTGTCTGGACTCTCGATCCCAGTTCCAAAATGTCAACATGACCATGCCAAAAGAAACTTGACTTCAAAAAAGAAAGAATTGAGTTGCAGAAGCAAAAAGGTGCGTATCTTCAAAAAAGAATTAAGTTGCAGATAAGAGGAAACTTATCAATAACCTCAATAAATATTGTAGGTTTATAACCTACCAGGACGCGCGCCGAGTTGGACTCGTCGACGCGGTCCTACTAGTACTATACTCCTAATAGTAATATTTGAAACAAATATTTGACGAGTACCACCCAACGACATTAACAAGAAGTAGAGAACTGAATTGCAAAAATTAACCTAACTCCAAGTCCAAGCAAGATAGAATTGAGTGCAATTAAGAAGATAAAATTATCTTCAGGAAAGAAAAAAGTTGCAGACTGCAAAGGAAACCCAACTTCTTCCTGGTCACGAGAGAGAACCATGCTTTCTCGTGAGAGTTCCTCCTGCATGACAATTGTCAATGGCTTATTGAGCAAGTGCTTGTCATTCTCGATACAGCCGATACAGAAACATCAAGTATTTATTCATTCTCTGACTGTCATGTCTCTAAATTTCATGCATTCTGTCCTATGCAAAGCAAATGCTGCAAATATCATGGGTTCGTCCCGTCAGCAAAATTTCACACAGATGTCACTAGGAAGGTGAGAAGGTAGGCTGGTTACTGAATACTGGTTAGGGTGTTAGACGTTAGTGTTAGGGTCGCTGATTAAAAATAAGAAGTTGGAATGTAATTGTAATGTCAGAAAATTTAGGAAGAGACACAAATTTGTTAGGTTTACGGCAAATCGAGCTTTGCAACTTTCATTAGAAAAACGGCCCTTCATTGAACTTTAAATTTAAACTTCTTCAAGACTTATTAAGTAGTCAGATACTATTAATTATTCTGACCATAATTTGTAGCAAAAAATTCGCATTCTCACAAATAAAACTCGTTACATGATTCGAAATTTCAAATATTATCGAAATTGTATCATTAATTAATTTTTAACGGGATCAACGTTATAATCTAATTCTATTAATAACTTTGTACAGTATATTATAAAATAAAATCTCCACATCAAGTCGACTCCTCCGATAATTCGGTTTCAGAGCCACCGTCATCCACAAAATACATGTGCAACAAGCGTGCCCATTGCTATGGCAACAGCGCGACAAGTACACATGCAGATTGTAGGAGATTTTGCGGGGTCCAAAAAGAAGTCACGTGATTGCCGCACAGCAAAAACAGCAAACACAGACATTTCCAATCAGAGGTCCCGCACCGGGTTTGAACTACACGTTTCAGATTTGTTTACAGCAGAAAATTTTTTGTTGCAACCAGAAATAAAATAACCTTTTACCAGGTTCAAATAAGTTCGGGGATTTAGGAATTATTTTTTTTGGTTTGGGGGATCCCAGTTTCATGAGGATTTTAACGACTACTAATAATTTACGAACCTCAATCTGACAAGTTTACTAAATGATTCAATTAATTATGAAATGAATGAATTAGGATTTCCCCCTCACAAAAAAAACATTTACAATCAATACAATGTTTTATCAGCCATTAAAGAAGCTTCTTTATATCCTGGAGTATAGTCTGCGGAGAAACATTCGGCTCGTATCTGAACTTGGGAACCCCATTCCTGTCTATCAGAAACTTCTGGAAGTTCCACCGAACTAGAGATCCCAGGGATCCTGATACTCTGCTCTTTAGGTACTGAAATGAATATTGTTTATATATTGTTGAGTTCTAAATGTCTGCACAGTATGCTTTTTTTCGGCCGACTGCCGAGTAACCCAAAAGTTACTAACTTTATTTTATACTATTTGACCGACTCAGTTAGTGGAACAGTTTAAAAAACTTTGTGTATCACCCCTCCAATGTATCTTTAGCGTATTAGTATTACGCCGTTAGTATACTATTTAGCTATATGATCGCTTCTACAGCTATAGTACGTGTGTCATCTTTAAGTTATGGTGTCTGGAATTCATTTTAGGTATCTTTAAATTCTTAAAACTGTATGTAAAATAATCTACACTCGAATGTTCCGCCAAATTTGCAAATTTTGCCTTCATTAGCCGAAGTGGTTGCGCCTTTTTACATGTTCGAAGTAAAGCAAACCAGACCGTCACAAATCATAATCATATTGGAAAGCAAATTATGTTAAATATGGTAAAATAGGAATCGCCACGCCCGCCACGGTGACTGCTTAACTGCAACATTTCAGCGCCCAGCTTGTGTGCCCTCAGCTTGCCTCACTGTGTTTAGTTTGATTATATTTAGAAAGTTGGATATCTTTATCGGCTATAATGAAGCACTTGATTAGACCTCATCTTATCTTAACACAATCCTTTTATTTTAAGCATTCTATCACAGCTGAAATTTAGTACAAATGTGGTAAACTACAGGGGTGATAATCCCTTATTCGTCCTCATATTTTCATGTTCAGTTACAGTGAAGCTTAAAGTAAAGTATAGTTGATATTAAAAGTGAAATTGAAAGTGAAAGTGAAATACCTGATAAAGAGGAGTGGCGTTAGGTCCGTTAACTTCCACTTTACCGAACAAGTCAAATGTAACCCCGTACTTAGAAACAAACTCTATTATCTCATCATGATTACCGGGCTCCTGAAATAGTTTTAATAATCAGAAAAATGAATTAAGTTAATATATTAACTTAACTTAACTGCTTAAGAGAATAGTATAAGGTCATTTTAAAGTGAAGGTAGTTAATGTTACTGTTTTAAGCGATTTTGCATACTTAAAATTGATCCATATTCATACATTTCCAGCTACTGATGTCTGATTCCAATAATAAATAAGGAAACATGTTCTTCGACAGTCGACTGGTTAGCGGTTACAGGGTGAAATTGATAAATGAGGTTACCTGTTTTCCGAACTGGTTGCAAGGGAAGGCCAGGATCCGTAAACCCTTTTCCTGGTATTCGCTGTAAATTTGCTGTAGCTGTGTGTAGTTCAATTCTGTTAATCCTCATTCTGACGCCACGTTAACTACTAACGTCACGTACCCCCTGGGAAAATGGAGTGAAGTCATATCACGTTATATACCATCTTACATACCATCTTACATACCACTTGACATGCCAGTTGCCACTTGACATACCACTTGACATTGCTAGTAACACGGAATTTAAGTACATACATAGTTCCAGAATATGAAGTCTTGACAAAAATTCTTTAGAATACTAGGAGAGTCAAACTAACTTGTATTTGTCGAGTTTCACATTACTGCCATCAATATCTCCGACTTCGAAATCGTAGATGTTACTGGCACATTCTGCCTGAGGAATCAAACGTGATCAACGGAAAATGGAAATGGTAAATATCAGGTTTTCCTTTCTGATAAAACTTGCACATAGTTTAATCGGAAACGTTATTTTCTGATAACAGAACAAAAAAGTCAACACCGATTGCACTACTAACAATCATTGGCTGGATCTATGCTTATAATTATAGCTTGAAACAACATCAGTAAAGTCACATGATGATTGATGATTCAGGAGTTAGATACCTGGTCGCAGATCTTCTCCTGAGGTTCCAGACATTGAACTCCACTTTGCTCCATAGACTTGAGCCAGGGCAATATCTCACCTTCATCACCCGTCTGCAGCAACCACTCTGAGGGAGGAAGCTAAAGTGAAACCGATATCCGCGGGTCAAATTCGACAACAGGACCTCCTATCGTAGCCTATAGTTGTTTTTTAATAAATAATAAGGCACTCTAGTCCCTTCTATTCTCGTCCAAAATGAAAATGTTAGGGTGCCATGCAATGGTAACTTTTCCTCTCACACGTGACTTGTCACAGGGTGCTATCTCGTGCAGACGAGATAGCACCCTGTGACACGAGATCCTCGTCTAAAAACCATGACTAGCTCGGTGACACCCTACCATGGCACCCTACCACACTCGTCTATACTAGGATGGGTCTCAGGGACAAAAGGATTTCGCGGCGATTTTGGCCAAAAATCGCGATACCGCGAATTACATTTCGCGGTATATTAAACTATACATAAAATTTGTCGTAAATAATGGGAAAAATCGCGATTCCGTACATGCCGCGATTTCCTTTTGTCCCTGATGGGTCTCAAAACGAGCTATTTGTTGTGGTGCTCCAAATAGAACGCTGATTAATCAAACCTTTAGGGAGTTCTAAAGTTATTTTCATCAGTTATAACACGCGGTCCAGTGTTTTATTACGGACATTTAACTATGTGCAGTCTTTGTTTCTTTTGTTATAATATGCAAATCTGCTATAGTGAGGTGCCTAGAAATAGGCTAATAGGACATATAGAGATATAGTGGTTAGTGGTGGATAATTAATTATTTTCTCGGACACTGAGCCCAGAATTATGAGTTTTACATTAGAGGGAAATATGATCTATATATAATTTCCTATAAACAAACATTTTCTTTTGTTTGACTCATCAGCAACCTTGGCGCTCGACGAAAGTTTTACAATGTTGGGCGTCTAATCACAGAATCCGGAAATTGAGAGTGAGAGTGAAAGTGAAAGTGAAAGCAAGAGTAAAGAGTAAAATGAAGGTGAAATGGAAATTCAGAAGTGTAGCAGAGTCATAAGCATATATTACTATATTATACCTCATGAACACAAGGAACAGCACACACTGCAGGTTGAATAATATCATCAGTACAATAATTGAGTACAATAATTATCATATTGTACTTGTTAAATGATAAATCACATGTGAGTAACAAATTTGATTCTTTGAAACGTTGGTTGATAAATAGTGTTTAGTGTTAAGGGGTCATTCATAAACGAAAACTCAGACTCAAATTGTGAGATAATCTTAGATTTTGAGATCAAATTCGCTTTTGGTATTCGTAAAGTTAAGTATTTGCGGTCTGAGTATTTTGTCGCTAGTAAATGCTCAGAGTTGGAACTAGCACTCAAATCGGTATTCATAAAGTTAGTATTTACTCGTCACCCAAAACTAACTCAAGATTGGTATTCATAAAGTTAGAAAATGATCAAAACTCATGCTCAAAATGTGAGAACCGAATTCACATTCTCAAATCATTTTCTCACCTATTGCTCAACGACTTTTAAAGTTTTAACGTCAATAACTTCCCTTCTAATTGATATTTTCACTTCAAATTTTCAGGGACGACTCCTCACTGCCAGTAAAAAAGCTCTAATATATTTTTTCCCGATTGGATGACGTTTTTGCAAATTTTCCCAGAAAAATAAACACGTTAGAGTATAAGCTTGGTATAAAATGGTGTCCCCACGACATTCAGGAGCCAAGTAACGCAGATCAGTCATCAATTCAAAAAATAGTTATAAAAAACCTCTCTGAAAGCTTTGGCTAGGACTAGCGATAAAAATTGCGTACCGAGATGATTGTAATAGGTTTTTTCTTTTTCCTACCAGAGTAGTACTGTTGAGGGTTGTGTCTTCGAGGTGGGACTTGAACCTTAATCAAGCAGCCGTCTACGGCCCCAAAGCAGTATGGGAAACTTTTTTTCATCGCCCAGAATTGAGCCGCTTGATTGAAGTCCTGAGTTGTTGTCGGGAAAATAATCCAAACATCACGTTTTGCCACAATTCTTTCTATTACATACTTCACAGTCCGTGAAACAGTAGGTTGGGAGACGCCGACTATTTCGGAAACCCCATTTTTGAAACCCGGGTCTGAAAAATATCGGAGACAAATCTCCATTTTATGTTTATTTGTCAAGGCGCCTCCTCGCGTTTCACCGGAATCAGGTCCCAAAAAATGCCTGGCCATCCAGTCAACGGACGGTTCTTCAAAGCGGAACTGGGTTTTGTAGTAAAAGTCCGTTCGGGGCTGACGTCGGGTCTTGAATGTTCTAGTCGAATGTGGGGCCGGTGGTAAAAGAGGAAGTGCCATAGAGCTCAGACTTAACACAAGCTGAGTTCAAACTTCGTCAATTAATCAATAACAAAATTAATCAATAACAAAAGACACAATCATTTCGAAAACATGCCACGAACATGATCATACAAAAGTTCAGCTTACCTTTCTATCACTGTCGGTATTGGGTTAGAATAATCTGCTAGGTAATTATTGAACATCGATATGTATTTAATAAAGTTTGAGAAATTGACGGCAAACCACAGTAAAACTACGGTGGGTTTCGGGAAACTACCGTGGATAAAAGAAAACTACAGTAAATCACGGTAAACCACTGTAAAAGGGACGTGAAATTACCTGTAGGGGACACAATATCGCACAAGAAACATTCATTACAGATTATCAGGAATAGATATCAAGAATGATTCTGAATTATCTTCGGAGTCAAGGGTGTTGTCATTTTGCCGCCATTTCAAGATTGCGATATCACACATTCCATCACAGACATATGCGGTTATACGTGATGTGCGAATGTCGAATGTACTCGACACAAATTTCCCTCGAAAATGTTTATTTCACATTCCTTCGATACATCGATGTACATCCGAATTTGGGTGTTTCCCCATTAACATAAGATGGCAAACAAAAGATCTGAATTAACCTGTCGTGCTTCTTAAAATACTGATTTGAGTATTTGAGTGCTAGTTTGAGAGCATTTTAGTGAGTATTTACTTGAATGTAAGTCATACTCACGATGAATTCAGCTTGAGTATTAGTTTTTACTGGGCAGTAAATGCTCAAACTTTGTGAATACCGATTTTGAGACTCAGAAAAATCTAAGTAATTACTAGCGAGTATTTACTTAAGAAATACTTAGTTATTATGAATGACCCCTTTAGTGCTTAACGTTGGTGTATCTAATATAGTTTATAGCTGTTCAGTGTTCGTGCCATTTTGTTTTTGTTTCTGGACGGATCTGTGGTTCTGCTAACATTGTACAGTAATGTTTATAGAATTATTTAAATAAAGAAATAGGATTGAACGGGAATCGAACATTTTCACGTCATCTTACATTATGTCATCTTATATATTTATGTCATCTTGTATTATGTCATCTTGTATTAGGACGCGTGGGTGTATTTATAATTAAATTCGGTTACAATTATAATATGCAGTTGCAGTATTTTGACATAATTTAATCGATTTGAATTTGAATTGCAATTATGTTATTACTAGATCAGCAAGCTGAGGAAGACTATAAATACTTACTGGAATTAGTAGCTTCCTCCTCGATCAGCAGTGCTGGAGGGCTCATCCCAAAGTCAGTTAAAACTTTCGAGGTTGACAGGTTTATCTTCTCCACTGCTCTCCATGTCTGAAACATAATCGTTTATTTTACTGGAATTATGTTCTTCGTTACTTGCTAAGTTGACATAATATTTTTTTATCATTCATTTAACTTGAAGTATTTTTTTCGTTATTTTTTCACTAAAATGTTATTTTTTTTCATAATCGGCAAGCCCTGTACCTAAATAAACTTTTTGTAATTTCCCAGGCCATTTCTTGAGTCTTGAATAAAGTTCATTCTTAAAAGAGCATTTACACTAAAGCTCTGGCTGACAGTTTATTAACTAACTCAAGTTATCTTTACGGTTAGGAATTGAGGAAAGCAATTTTAAATCAATCAGGAAATTTCGAAGACTTGCAATTCCTGATTTCAAGTTATTACACAACGACTACTGTCAGGACTCACTAGCAGCCATGATGCCATAAGATTAAACCTTTGAGCTATCATTCTCGTACAGGTTATCTTTAATTTCGAGCAAGAGTCATAATTTAACAGAGCTCGTTATTTCATGACATTTATAATATAACGCGTTAGTTGTTACTTTTAGCTGAAGTGCTTTCAATCTTCAGCTTGTCAGAGCATTAGATGGAGCTGATTTGTCGTATTTTATTTGAAATTGACAGTTTTCTGAACGAAGAGCGTCATTACATTATGTAAAAATAGAGCTACACATGAACGCACTAAAAATTTATTTGCTAGTTTTCACCATAAATGTTTAGTCTCAGAAAGAAGTACAATTAAAACTTCTAATTATAGTATAGATGCAAGCTACGAGCTGCAAAGGACTATAATCGTCATTAAACTTGCACGATAATGGCATCGTGCATCAATCGAACTATGTTGCTCAATAATGAGCGTTGATGGCACAATACTGATGACATTTTGATGCAATCATAATCATCGACGGATCAATAATATTGTTGAAACCAAGATCGTGCTGGGTCTTAGGGGCTATTCAATACAACTGCAAGCAGTGTTCGAGTTGTTTCTATTATATATATCGAATTCGATCGAAACTGTCGTTTTATGTCGATCAACATCGAATAAAACAAATGTGTTTTGTTTTCGATTCATCGTTGATCGATGCAATGATCGAAACAAGGATCGACACTAAATCAACAAAAATTTAACTAACGTGAAATCAATATTGATTGTCCGCTTTTTCCGACACATCATAATCGAATAATCGTTTTTTCCTGTTTTTTTAGAAACAATTATATATATATATCAGGGACAAAAGAAAATGGCGATAATTTTGGCCAAAAATCGCGATGCCGCGACAAGCCAAACAGACGACATATAAAATTTGTCGCAAAGAATGGGGAAAATCGCGATCCCGCACATGCCGCGATTTCCTTTTGTCCCTGATATATATTGATTATAAATGATTCATTACGACTTTCAGACATATTATCAATATTTAAACATTGTTGAATAATGATTACTTATATTAATTGAAACTTGAAGTGTAATCGATTCAAAATTTAATCGATTATGATCAATATCATGAATATGGATTTTTGACCGTTTATCGCAGTTGCCAAATTTTGCTTATCTAACATGTTTAAATTTATTTACGCTTCCATTACGTTTTTTAAAAACAAGGTATCATAATTCAACAAATTTGAAGCTGACGTTTTCTGCACGCTTGCAAAAACATCGATAAACTGTAATTTCTATTTTAAATTGAGCCGTAGACATGATGATCTCAAAACCTAAACAATGGCCCCGTTGACGTGTACATTACGTTGCTTCTGATTGGTAACGTGACTAGAGTTAAGCTGTCTGATTTGTCAGTTATTATCAATTTAGCAATTTGAAGTAACTAGAATAAAGCTACATGAGTGGTTAGTTTGTGGAACGTGATTAGAATGGAGTTATCTGATTGGTTAATTTGAGTCTTACGACCAGAATAGAGCTCTTCGATTGGCGAGTGTAACATGCACTATCTGCGGAGGTGCACTTTTCGATAGCAGTGCAATTCCAGATACGATTTATTTAATGGCACATGTCGGTTTGGTAATTGTTTTCTACAAGTATAAGAAAACTGAGAATTTATGAAGTTTTATTTCCAGATGTCACTGAGCTTGCTTGGCTTTTGAAATTTCTGCTTTCTTGCTAATTCACAAATTACAGCATTTTCTTTTGTGTCGCATAATTTACTTACTGAATCAACATACGGTTATAAATAAGTCTTAATTACTTTGCAACTAGGAATTTCTTAATTTGTTATTCTAATGTTGACTAAATGGATATTTTCACAATTAGAATAGCATTTATTAATCTTTACAGAGCTAAAACTAAAACTTTGCAACTAAAAGTTTGTTATTCTATTTTTGACTTAATGGATACATTCACAATTAAAATAGCTTTATTCACAGAGCTAAAAAGACACAATGAAATTTTATTGAATTAATCAAGTATCCGCTTTAAAATTATCGCACAGAATACTAGCCGTGGACCGTAGGACGGGTCTCCCTTGCAGTTTGAACAGGGAGGAGTCTATAATGGTTTATTTCCGTTTTTAATCAGTAGTGAAGCTGCATTTTTTGCATCCCTCCAGGTAGTTGGTCAAATTTAATCTGTAAATATTCAGCTGAAATCAGTATTTCAACCAGTTCGCGTTTTCTTTGCTAGTTCCTGACATGTAATGTTACGTTATAAAATATGAATAAAGTTCCCTCATTAAAAAGTGAGCGGACCATGTCAAGCGGAGAGAAGAGGTACAACTATCTGAACATAACCCCACTCCACTCAATAGAGGAGGATGAGGAGACTGAGTTCAATTCTGTCGGTGAGTTTTTAATCTTTTACTTTCACTTATACTTTATTTTAATTTAGCTTTCATTTGTGTCACCTTCAAACTGTAGCAAATAAAGTAGTTGCCTAACCCAGCAGTCCTCTAATTGCAGTGTGTTTACTGCAAATAGTACACGTGGGTGCCACGTGGGTGCCAAATGGGTCAGGGTGCCACAAATAGAATGTAAAGGATGAGTGTCCACTGTTGCCATGGTGCTCAGATACCATGGTGCATGGTACTTATAATTAATTACTAGAAGTTGTCATTAAGTGATTACGACACCGTGATCTTATACTTAGCCTCTGGCTCTACTGCTCCAGCTCAAGCAATCATTGTTACATCTCTTAATTAACCTGCTGAAGGTAATGCTTGCTGGACTAATACCAGTATTTGAGGGTTGTTCTCTAATCCTTCTCACGCTCTGAATTGCTGTCATTATTGTTATGTCTTAATCCAATAATCAACTGTCATAGAATCGCCGGAAATACAAAACCAGTTATTTCCACAACATTCAAGTCTCAGAGTTGATACGTGAAATCTAATACCACATCTAGCTTTATCTAGCAGCTCTCATGACATTTCACTGACAGACCCCCGCTTATTATTTTGTAACAGATTTTTTACTTCTTGTGATTATAGTGGAGTTCAATCTGCACGTTAAATTGACGTTCGCTTTTAGTAATCACTAGTGATTTGAAGTGTCAATTTGATTGATCAGCAATGCTCGCAGAATTGCTGCTTTGACATTCCAGTGCGATCCCATGAGCACAGAATACCAAGAAAATGGAGATGTTACCATGGTACCATCATTCTATATCACTGACTACGAAGATAGTGACAATGATACCATGGTTCCATCATTTAATATCACCGACTACAACGACAGTAGAAATGTTAACATTATACCATCACTATATATCACTAAGTCCCGAAAAAGTAAGTATCTCCTCTTTTCTTTATAAATACAAATATCTGAATAAGTAGTCATATCTCATATATATATCCCCGGATTAGCAAGATAGGTAAAATCACTATATATGGTAATGTTACCATGGTAAACTGACCTTATATGGTTATACCCCTAGGTTCAGAAGACAGTAACAATAGCAACGCCAGTAGCACAGGCTCTATAAACAGTTCCATGTCGTTTATAAGTCAACACGATCCTCACCAGATCATGAACAGCTGTGAGGTAAGGCATTTGTTATCAACCATTAAATTTGTTATCGACCATTAAATTTGTTGTCAACCATTAATTTTATTGTACCATGCAGCTTCACCATGGCATTTCATATGCTCATCTATCATTTAGGTTGCCGTAGAAATAAATCATAGTCGTATCGAAATCATACAAATTTATCTAACAATTCTCAACGTGATAATATCTCAGAAACTGATACTAAAGTTGTTGAATGACAGTCAGAGATTGAACAGCAGGTTAAAGAAACTCGAGCTGAGAGCTGGCCTAGTGGAGGTAAGGAATTAACCCTTTTTTGTATAGAGACAGAAATTGGAATACTTTATTAGGATTTTGACATAAAAGCAACCGATCACTGATGGTATAGTTTTGTGCTCTGATCGGCTAAACATTTCAGGACCAGCTACCGTCGTTCCAGAGATGTGCCTCATTTCCACAGACAATAACAGAACACCCTTCAGAAGCAGAATGTAGTTCTGACATGGCTACTGTGAACTACCCGTGAAACATTCTTAACTCTACACTGTCAAGTTAATATGTCAATCTGAGTGGAGAGGTGACTCTCAACTGAGCGAAGACTCTCAACCATGAGTGGAGACAACCAAAGACTCTCATTTAGTCTACATTAGGACTTTCGGAAGTTAACATGACATGGGTAAGGTATATTATGACAATGCGAAGATGATCGATGTGACGAGAAATAAAATGTTATTCAGAATCGAAGAGAAGTTGTTGAGTAAGTGGTACTCTGCTAAGGACGAAGGAGGTATCAGAACACGACTCATGGATACTGTTTATTATAGAATCAATTAAGTTAATTTAAAAAATCGCTTCCAAGTTCCAAGATAAAGTGTTTAAGGATTTGTTGATGAAAATAGGATTTTATGCCTAATTTTACAACATAGGCGAAACTTTGCAAGTTGATGATAACATAGGCGAAACTTTGCAAGTTGATGATAATATCATTTGCATAGACGTTCAAATTTTAATCCCATTTTGTAATTCTTTGTAGATTTTTGCTGAATATTATGACATAAATTTAAGTAATGCTTAACGTATAAGCTGAAGCCGTAAGTTCTTGTTTATTTGTTTCAATTGAGATTTAAGGTGCAAGTTCAACAAATAAAATCAAAGAACTAACTATTGAAAATTTAAATAATTATTTATAAAATGTTTGATTATATGAGACACACTGTATCGTGTCATTCATTATATTAGGATTAAATCTATGTGTCTATAAATTAATTATAAGTTTACTAACCTGAGATTCATCTTTGTAGCAGTACATATGAGGATCCCCCTTTTTTATACTATAGTATCTGTCCACATCAACAAATCCTGATAACACAAAATATAAGTTTAAAGTTTGCAAATTCCAGAACTTTTCCCTCTTGTTCTTAATTCAAAGTTCTACTCAAAGGAGCTGTGATAGAAAAAATAATAAATCAAAATAACAACAGAAACTTTACAGCTGAAGTAAGAATAATTTTACCTTTCTTTTTGAGATATCCTGATGTTGAGTTAGGATCGCCCCCGCAAGCGGCTTTTCCGCCTGCAGAACAACTCATCAACTGGAAGAGTACCAAATTAATCATAATTATTCAAATTATAGATGTGGATTCTCGTGGGGAGGTGAGGTACATTTGTTTACTTTAATTCTTTAACATGGAGGTTCTGTTCAGCAGGAGAAAGAGGTGATGCACATTTTGTATTATGGAACGCTTGTAACGCTTGTAACTCCTTCTTGTTACCCCCCTTTGAAGGTCCCAAATTATTTTCTGAACGAAAGCTTAAAAATAACCGAGAAATTGACCTTGTTATTAACTCATTTTGATGACTGTTTCTGACCTAAAATTGCACGATAAATCGATTTAACTAGGTTTCAGAACCTATCAACACTTCCTTATCCCTCAAAATTGATATTTGTAGTCAATACGAGCAACAAGCAACATATATTTTGATCCTTCGATTCTACTCATGACCTAGGACCTAGTAGTAAGCTGAACCTAAAGAGGCAATCGTCACCATAACTGATCGAACAGGTACTAACACAATTCTCAGAGAGAAATGTTCGTTGCAATATGTTTATTGCAGCTTTGCAATACTTGAGTGAAGAGCAGAGTCCGAAAACACACAGCAGGTAAGCAACTCATTTTGATGACTGTTCCTCACCTAACATTGCACGAGAAATCGATTTAAGTTGGTTTTACAGCCCAATGCAACACTTCCTTACCCCTAAAAATTCATGCTTTACTCAAACGAAGAACATTTTGATCCTGCAACAAAGGAACATGGAGATCGTCTCCTTAACAAATCGAACAGGTACTGTATCACAATAGCAGAGCACGATAGCAAAATCAAAATAAAAACAAAGCAGGTATAATTAACACCACAAAACAATCCATGATAACAACTGAATTAAATTTATTCTGAACGACCGGCAGCGCAGCCATGTGCTCCGTGATCTCGAGCGACCAATAGCAATATAAGTGTTATGTCAAGTGACGCCGATCCAATCACGAACAGGAAAATAAAAGCGAGCAGACGGATATCATATGTTTACTTTCCTTATCTGTATTTGACCCTCTGTTCACATTGTTATCGTTACCACAGCTTGGCTCGACAATTTCAAGGTGCTATCTAGTATCTGTACTGTACACACGCCATGATCTGATAACGTCATAAACTAGAAATAATGTGAACGTGTAACCGTACCCACGTACAATACAAACTGTTCGATGGGGGAGGGGGTTTAAGGCGCCAGCATCTCTCTGCGACAGTCAGTGACAGATACTTAAAATAACGATCGATAACGCCTAACCTATCGCACACAAAAAGCCCAGAAACTGTCGCAATATAAAATTTCTCAGTTATTTTTGAGCTTTCCTTCAGAAAATAATTCGGGACCTTCAAAGGGGGGTAACAAGAAGGAGTTACAAGCGTTATAGCGTTCCATAATACAAAATGTGCATCACCTCTGTCTCCTGCTGAACAGAACCTCCATTGCCATGTTAAATAAACAAATGTACCCCACCTCCCCACAAGAATCCACATCTATAATTTTGATTATCAAAAAGTTAATATTTATCATGATTCTTCAAATTAACCGTAATTATAAAACATACATTTTTAAATTCGGAGCTTTACTTTACTTTCGGATTTACTTTTAGAATATCATTTATTCTGCGTCTTGATAAAAAATGTTGAATTTTCTAAGCACAGTCCAATCTCACTTAAATAACTTAAATTAACTTGGATAAAAAGTGAATGTCGCAAAAATTCTGACAACGGTGAAAAATCTAAGTTTTCGGAAGGAATGGCGTTAATAACGGTTTAGAATAAAAAATTGATTCATTAAAAGGTGAGTTTTGGATTTTTGAGTATTGGAATTGACAATTGTTACTTCTCTCAATTTAAATAAGCCTAAGTAAGCCTAAAGAATCAGTTGAATTATCGACGAACAGAAATGTTTGATAACAATTATAATGTATAGTGTATAATGTATAGTGTATAATGTATAGTGTATAATGTATAGTCTATGATGTATAGTGTATAATGTATAGTGTATAATGTATAGTGTATAATGTATAGTGTATAATGTATAGTAAATAGTGTATGTATTATTTCAGTAAAACTAACGATTACAAATGGATCTTGAACAACCGGTTGATTTAGCAAAAAAGTATACGCTGGCACACACTAATTGCTTATAAAGGACCAGCACTACTATAAGTCACACAAGACGGTGTGTATAAATATTTCTACAAGCTTGAATACCTGCAAATACTCAAATATTACAATTATTCCAGATTTGTAGATAACAATAGGTATGGACACTGGCGGGAGGTGGACCATAAATTTGTCACGTGATAGCGATCCTGGGTTTTGATTGGTCAACGCTGGAATATGATTGGCTAAACGCTGTCACGTGTCAGAACATATCCACCAATATCCAGATCTCTTACTCTTCCCTCCCGTCCTAATTTCACTGAAGCTGCGTGTAAACTGCAATGAGAACTACTTATTATCGATCATTGGCTCGCAAGTTGGCTGCAGTAATGTTTATATGCACGAGTAAGTAATCGATCGATAGGCTTAACTTCACGAATAATAGGCTCAAGATACTCTAAAGAAACGTATATATAATTGAAAATGATGTATAATTAGTCACACACGAGAAAAGGTAATGATCTTAGAATTTTCTCATGTCCATATTTATTATTTAATATATAAAATCATTATTTTGGCATACTAATGAGATTTCAGTTGGAAATGTTTAACGTGAACAGCGAAAGTTTCAATAAAATACTAAAAAAGGCCCCGTTTATTTTTTAATGAGATTTTCACATATAAGCTTTTCAATAAAATTGCTGCCATGATACGAATAAAATCATTATTTTGGCATATTATATCAATGATATCAGATTTCAGTTGGAAAAGTTTACATTAAATATAAGATTTATTTTCAACATAATATATGAAATGTCTAACTGAAAATGAACAGCGACATTTTTCAATAATATACTATAAAGCCCCGTTTATGTTTAAATGAAATTGCCGCCGTGATAAGCATTAATAAGGTTAAGCTCCGTAAGAACATATCAAGAAGCCACCGCCCACCATGCCGCCGTTTCTGCAGTATATAGATGTGAAAATTAGGAGTGAAAGGCTGAAGGAAAAAGAAAAACATGCCGACAAAATGCAATAATAAATAATAGTACATACATAATATGCACGTGCACAGAGCAGCCTATATGTAATATCTGTTACATATGTGCTACACGTGCGTTGTGGAATGTGCATTAATATGCAAATAAATACAGTAATCTGGATCCGAGGCTGCTGCTAAAAGTCAAGATAGTCGATAAATTTAGTGGTGTATGGTTCAGTCGAAGGGAGGATTATAAAAAGAAAAATATTGTCTGATGGACTACTAATTACTCTCTCAAACAACAAAGATTTTCAGAATGTCAATTTAAAAATTTTTTAAATTGTCAATTATCGTGTATAAGGAAAATGATTGGAAAGGATCTGCAGTCTGCACAGTAAACTTATTGATCAGACTTGTGGATGTAGAGTGCAGGCATGTCTATTAATTATTCAAAGCTGGTAAGATAATTAAAATGATGAGTTCATAATTATCGTATATGAGCTAGCTGGAACCATTTTAACTTCACTCAATATGGCTAGGTCGATTTGATGACAATATCTAGTAACCTAATATAGTGTTGGATAAATCAGTAATAATTCAGGGTCAAATTTCAAAAAGGATTTCAATCTAAACTAACAAACTCAATTTAGCTTACTTAAGTTTATCTATATCAATTATCAATGACAGAACTGTACAATTACAAATGATCCGATAAGAAACCTCAGAAAATTGCACTTACCGGAGGTCTAAAGACTGCAGCTCCAAACCTTGCCAATCTCATGACAAAAAAGAACTTAATAACCTGATCTGCAAGTTAGCAAGTTGTACGGTGCCACCATGAAATTCTCACGTGACTAGCACGTGACCAGCATGTGATTAGCACGTGTGGCACTGCGCGCTTCAGCATGAAATGAGCACGTGTCACTGCGTGGTATAGCACGTGCAGACTTTCAACCACCTGGGTTATGGTCACGTGCCTACTATCAAATTTCTTTGGAAAGTAAAAATTACCATTACATGGAGCTGATGTATATCGCAAAAATATGGACTGATCCAATTTCACGGTAAATTTGTTACCGTGAAATGAACTGTTTAATTCCATCGATTAATGGAATATCATATTACGACCACTTTTTAAAATAAAAGATTACTCTATGGTACGCTCCTCAAGAATTAAATCTGACTGGATATTATATGCGTACTAGTGAACGGTTTATTGGACAGAACTTGAACGAGACAAAGTAAAATTAAATTTAAAGGAACTTCGAATAATGAGATTTTACGGACAAATTTGTGATTTCAGTTAAGGATAAAAGTAAGCTTTGAACTCAGAACTCTCATAATAAATAGTCTCGAATGAAAATCAATCGAATGTTAATTAATCAACTTTTATAGAGAAAAGTCACTTCTGTTAAATGAGGAGCAGGAGACCATTGCTTGTTAGACTAACAGTTGTTAGTGAACATTGGTTAGATAAAATAACGAACACGCATTTATCATAAAATATCTTGGAATAGTCTTCAATCAAAGTATCATATCAGTAAATATCATGATCAGATGTATAAATTCAACACAGGGGCAGGCCGCAGGGGTATAATATCAACAACTCATATTACAAAGCTTGGTAACATAATAGACTAGACGATATGCATATGCACTACTAAAATAACTGTGGTAAAACCTTATTTACCTTCTAAAGCTCTCTCCTATTCTTATTTAAGCCGAAGATTTGGGATTTTGCGCGTGTATGGTCAGCAGAACATTAATATCTACAATGTTAGCTAGTTATTTGTATTGGAATAATACTGGTATTGTGGTGTATCACGTGGTTTGGAGAAGACAATAGCTTAAAGTCTGACGACTATCGTCTGCAAACAAACTAATGATTCGTTGAACTAGCACAGTGTACAAATTGTAACGTATGTATTAGTATGACCACGCTTGCCCAAGAGTCAAGGACAATCTATACAGGGTATAATATGAGCAGACCGCTTTCATTAATCCTATAATACTGTTCGGCGTTCTTGTAGTCTCATTAACCACGTGCTAGTTGGGAGAGAAGGGCCGGGGGGGGTAAGATTTCGTGTCCTAAATTCACTGCTATGAAGCTATGAGAAATCGGTAACAATATCAAGACTATGAATTCCTAAAACTTAGAGTAAGACAACAGTCTGAACAAAATACCGACAGAAAATATTTTAAAAGCACGCTAGCAAGGTACTTCACGGCTTAGCTGCAGGGCAAACCTGACAAATAAAAAAGTAATTCTACATATCCGAGTACAGTAGTACTGCAAGACATTTTATATAAGGGAAGACAAACGAGCAGCAGACACTGTGTGGCCGTGGTATGATGAGAGTATGCTATAAAGCTATAAATGCAGTAATAGCATATGCATAACTGAATAGAGTAATAGACAAAGTATATCCACAAAAACCTTTGAGCAGCACCTGGCGCTGTTAGTAATTCTACATATCCGAGTACAGTAGTCTTGCAAGACATTTTATAGAATGGGAGAGGGAGAGGGAGAGGGAGAGGGAGAGGGAGAGGGAGAGGGAGAGGGAGAGGGAGAGGGAGAGGGAGAGGGAGAGGGAGAGGGAGAGGGAGAGGGAGAGGGAGAGGGAGAGGGAGAGGGAGAGGGAGAGGGAGAGGGAGAGGGAGAGGGAGAGGGAGAGGGAGAGGGAGAGGGAGAGGGAGAGGGAGAGGGAGAGGGAGAGGGAGAGGGAGAGGGAGAGGGAGAGGGAGAGGGAGAGGGAGAGGGAGAGGGAGAGGGAGAGGGAGAGGGAGAGGGAGAGGGAGAGGGAGAGGGAGAGGGAGAGGGAGAGGGAGAGGGAGAGGGAGAGGGAGAGGGAGAGGGAGAGGGAGAGGGAGAGGGAGAGGGAGAGGGAGAGGGAGAGGGAGAGGGAGAGGGAGAGGGAGAGGGAGAGGGAGAGGGAGAGGGAGAGGGAGAGGGAGAGGGAGAGGGAGAGGGAGAGGGAGAGGGAGAGGGAGAGGGAGAGGGAGAGGGAGAGGGAGAGGGAGAGGGAGAGGGAGAGGGAGAGGGAGAGGGAGAGGGAGAGGGAGAGGGAGAGGGAGAGGGAGAGGGAGAGGGAGAGGGAGAGGGAGAGGGAGAGGGAGAGGGAGAGGGAGAGGGAGAGGGAGAGGGAGAGGGAGAGGGAGAGGGAGAGGGAGAGGGAGAGGGAGAGGGAGAGGGAGAGGGAGAGGGAGAGGGAGAGGGAGAGGGAGAGGGAGAGGGAGAGGGAGAGGGAGAGGGAGAGGGAGAGGGAGAGGGAGAGGGAGAGGGAGAGGGAGAGGGAGAGGGAGAGGGAGAGGGAGAGGGAGAGGGAGAGGGAGAGGGAGAGGGAGAGGGAGAGGGAGAGGGAGAGGGAGAGGGAGAGGGAGAGGGAGAGGGAGAGGGAGAGGGAGAGGGAGAGGAGAGGGAGAGGGAGAGGTAGAGGGAGAGGGAGAGGGAGAGGGAGAGGGAGAGGGAGAGGGAGAGGGAGAGGGAGAGGGAGAGGGAGAGGGAGTTTCCGGTATGAGTCAAAAGAAATGTATTGGCAGTGCAAGGCAGCGTTTTCCTTGGCCCAATACGTCAAGCATTTTACAATCATTAAAACATCTAATTTTCTGATTATAAAATTCTGCCATGAAGTCGAACCAAAAATGCAAATGTTGAGAGGGAGAGGGAGTTTCCGGTATGAGTCAAAAGAAATGTATTGGCAGTGCAAGGCAGCGTTTTCCTTGGCCCAATACGTCAAGCATTTTACAATCATTAAAACATCTAATTTTTTGATTATAAAATTCTGCCATGAAGTCGAACCAAAATGCAAATGTTGGCATGACAACTACCAATTAACACGGGTGAGGTAAGTATGAAGCTCGAGTGCTTGCCATCATACCGAGTCTAGAAAGTGCAATTTAGATGAAGTCTTTGAACTAAATTAGGTTGCCACTAACCTCTCATGTAGCTGTATATGTTTTGTTTGGGGACCGGTTTTTGGTACCCGGCCAATGTTTACAAAATAATATAATACATAACAATATAATTTTATTTAATATGCGTGAATATGAAAATTGAAAATGTTGATTACGTCTATTCATTAAAAACAAAAACAGAAACTTTAAAAATTAAAACTTTAAAAATTAAAACTTGTATATCATGATTTATTAACATATAGTGACAAATAATTTGATTTGATACGACAGATGATCACACGCACTGTTTTTATAAGCTACTTGAGGTTAAAACAAAAAAGAATAACTGAGCCCATGTCTTATCAGCACCTGCTAGCGCTATCTATATGATGCTATTAATATGACAGTGAATGGGCAGTGAAAAAAGTGGCATATGGTTGATAGTGACTAGTGTGCTAACCGTCTGGTTTTATTTATTCCTTAGTTTATTCTCGGTAGTTGATTTGTTGTGTGCCTGATCTTGTCGATTTACGTAGCCCGGGTAAATTATGTAACAGAAAAGGTGGCCATTCTTCATCGTTTCCTGAGCTTTGTAGTTCTATCATTACACGCTTCGCTGATTTCTTATATATGCTTATTGAGAAAATGCTAGATGGGCAAGTTATGCGACTAATGTTGTGCTCGGTAATAGCTAATATAGGACCTTTATACAGAACACTAGCGCGTAGATCTGGTTGAGAGTACGTTGTTAGCCAGTCGATATTGTCGTCATAAGACGTGCCATACTTTGGTATATCGGGAGGAAATAAGTCTTTTATCGACGACGGCAGAAGGCCAGGCATGTAAGTTATCTTGTGCATCAGAGTCAGAGCATTTTTTATGATGACCCCGTGTACAGATAATATTTCGTACTCTTTAAACGTAGTTTTAGTATGATCCGGAAGCTTACCGTCCTTGTAATATTAATTCACGTAGCCCGGCATAACTGCTCGTATTCCCTGCTTTTGTTTAGTGAACAGTGATTCAATATGGGATTTTGCATATTTGGATTAGTTTTGAAGAATTTCGGAAGTGTTGAACAAGGCCTGAACGAGAAATCCTCATGGACCAGTCATCGAGAGTATTTAATTTTAAAATACAGTTTCAAGACAGTTACCATTGAATCATCCATTGAAGAATTCACAATTTGACACTATATAACTGTAATGTAGAACTTTATTTCGGTGGAATGGTTTAATGTTTAAATAAGGACAAATAGATATAGCCACCATCACGGTTACCTCTGTCAAGGTAGCCTTTATTAGGATTGGGTTTTACTGTACTGTAGTGGTCTCTATTTGATTTTTAGTATTTCATCACGTAATTTACATTTTAAATCAGTTTGATATCTCCACTCTTTAATGAGGATCACGACTACAGTAAACCGCTTCACGATGACAAAAGTTTGGGTTCAATTCAATCAGACTTTTTAATATCGCACTTTTTAGCTTCCCAGTTATCAAGAAGTTGCGCCGATGATAAATGAGCTTGGGACTTTGCTTGAGTTACTCAAGTTGACTTAGACTTGAGGTTAGCCGTAACGGATGACAAGGCGACAAACACTCAGTTGCGAGACCATCCGATACCGGTTAAAAATGAAACTGGAGGCGATATAAACGTCGGTGCACCAATAAAATAAAATAAACTAGCAATTCCTAATAAACATAAAAGCATAACTGATAGACATTGATGATAATGGAAATCAGTTGCACACTTCATCGGCAGACAAACAACAACAGCAACAGAGTTTGCAGCAGTCCTATAATCGCATTACTGTACAGAAACGTATTGTAATGGCCTGCTGATTATAAAACAGCTGGGGAAAACAGCTAGTAGCGTTACCATAGTAACGTGGTACCATATAAGTAGC